CTCACGGCCTTCATGCCTCTGGCGCTGTCCGTTCCCTCTCTCGGTGTGGCCTTTTTATCCATTTCTTTTTGTCTTTCTTTCTTTCTCTGGTTCTCTTGTCCTCACTCTGTCTCAGTCTGTCTCTCTTCTGTCTGTCCGTCTCTCTCTCTCTCTCTCTCTCTCTCTCTCTCTTCTCTCTCTCTCTCTCTCTCTCCTCTCTCTCCTCTCTCTCTCTCTCTCTCTCTCTCTCTCTCTCTCTCCCTCTCTCTCTCTCTCTCTCTCTGCGTCTGGTGTCTCTCTCTTTATTTCTTAATATTTGCATATAGGTAGATAGATCGATAGATTAACAACACGCAATCATATATATATATATTATATATATATATATATATATATATATATAATATATATATATATATAATATATATATATATATATATATATCGTATTTCCTGATTCACACATGTATGTATAGGCTTGTGTACATCTCCATTCATCATTCGTCATCATCATCTGATTCTCTCCCTCAAAACTTCCTGACACCAAACACCGCCCATTGAAAGAAAAAAAAAGTTATATGGAAATAGATAAAAATAAATGTATAAGAAAAGATAGAATATAAAAATTATAAATGAAAACTAAAGAAAGTTATATATTGAAATAGATTTTAAAATAAATAAATAAGAAAAATAATAGAATAGAAAATCATTAATAAAAAAACAAAGAAAACGATATATTAAAATAGATTTCAAAAATGAATAAATCAGAAAAATAATAAAATAGAAAAATAACGAATTAAAAAAACTAAAGAAAATAATATACGAAAATAGAAAAATAAAAGAAAATAGACAGAAAAATAATAAAAAAACATAGAAAAAAAATAAAAAATAAAATAAGATAAAAAAATAATAATAAAGAAAATAAAAAAATCGTTTAGTCCCTCCTCGACCTTTTCCTAGCACACCCGATCAGCTGTCCGCCCGCCCTCTCTCCTTCCCCTTCTGTCTCAAGACATACCAGGGTCGTCACACATGACAGGGCAAGGATGTGTCAGTGGAGGTCATAACGGAGGAATGTCGCTATGTAGGTCATAACACGAAGGAGATAGAGGGGAGAGGGGAGGGGGAGGAGAGGGAAAGGGAGGGAGGGGGGAAATGGGGGGAGGAGGAGGGGAGAGAGAAGGAGGAGAGGGAAAGGGGGGAGGGGGGAGAGAGAGGTGAGGAGGAGGGAGGGTTTGAGAGGGGAAGAGGGGGAGAAGGGGAATAGGAGTTGGGAAAAGAAAAGGGGAAGGACGAGGAAGGAAAGAAGGAGGGGGAGGGGAAGAAGGAGGAGGAGGGAAGGGTTCGAGGGAGGGGAATAGGAGTAGAGGAGAAGAAAAGGAGGAGGAGGTGGAGGAGAGGGGGAAGGCTTGACTGAGGGAAATCGGAGTAGGCAGGATGGGAAGAGAGGAGAAAGAACGGAAGAAAGGCAGAGGGAAAGGAGGAGAGAGGCAGAGAAAAAGGGAACAGGGAAGGAGGGGGATTCGAGTGAGGGAAATAGGGAATAGGTAGAAGAGGAAGAGGAAGATGAGTCAAAGGAGGAGGAAGACTGGAAAAAGGAAGGCCGAAAGGGGAGAGATGAAGATGGGCAAAGGAAGTGAGAGGAAGGGCGAAGCAGGAGAGGGAAGAAGAACGAAGGAGGAGAAGGAAGAATGGCGAAGGAGAAGAGGGGAGAAGAAGAAGGAAAAGAGGGAAGGAAGGAGCGAAGGAAAAAGAGGAAGAAGGAAGAGCGAAGGAAAAAGAGGAAGAAGAGCGAAGGAGGAGAGAGGAAGAAGGGTGAAGAAGAAGAGGAAGAAAAGCGAAAGAGAAGAGGGGAAGAGGAGCGAAGGAGGAGAAGGGAAGAAGAGCGAAGGAGAAGAAGGGAAGAAGAGCGAAGGAGAAGAAGGGAAGAAGAGCGAAGTAAAAAAAAGAGGAAGAAGGGTGAAGGAGAGGGGAAGAAGGGCGGATGGTTATGGATCATGGGCGCGAGGTAAACATTTTCCTCTGAATATTTCCCTCGAAAAATATTTTCACTCCTAATTCGACGACACGCCTCGCCTTGTCAGAACGAAAGGAAGAAAAACGCAAACCGAGGAAGAATCACATAACAAAATACAAAAAACAAAAATAAACATAAAAGGTAAACTAGAAAGCAAAAAAGGCGACTACAAAAAAAAAAAAAAAAAAAAAACGCTGTCCCGATCAAAAAGAGACAATACAAAAAAAATAAAAAAAAAAAAATAAAAAAGAAAGAAAAAGGGAAATAAAAACCGTTATGCCCCACATAGAAAGAGACATTACAAAAAAATTAATAATAATAATGATAATAAAGGAAGAAAAAAGGAAATGAAAACCGTAATGACCCCACCTAGAGACATTACAAAAAATAAATCAAGGGATAGATAAATAAAAGACATTACAAAATAATTAAAAACACACAGATTACAAAAGAGTAAAAAAAAATGAATAAATAAACATTGAGTAAAAAAAAGATAAAAGTTAAAAAAAAATACAAAAATACAATCCTCAGGAACTCGCTCCCCCCAAAGCAGGGTTACTTCCTCCTCAACGCTGCAAGGGAAGCGCGGCGGCCGAGATGCGTCTCTCCCGCTGCCACGAGAACCCCGAAGCCACTTGATAGGCTTCGGACGACGGAACGAGAGGCGGTCGCGGGTCTTGGGTGCGTGAGGTGACGTTGTTTTTTTGTTGAGGTTTGTGAGGTAACTCTTTTTCTTGAGGTTCATGAGGTAACCTTTTCTTGAGGTTTATGAGGTAATCTTTTTTCTCGAGGTTCATGAGGTAACTCTTTTTCTTGAGGTTCATGAGGTAACGTTCTTGAGGTTTATGAGGTAACGTTCTTGAGGTTCATGAGGTGACGTTCTTGAGGTTCGTAAGGTAACCATTTTCTTGAGGTTTGTGAGGTAACTTTTTCTTGAGGTTCAGTGAGGTAACTCTTTTCTTGAGGTTTAGAGGTTCAGTGAGGTAACCATTTTCTTGAGGTTCAGTGAGGTAACTCTTTTTCTTGAGGTTTATGAGGTAACTCTTTTTCTTGAGGTTTACGTTTTTATGAGGTAACGTTCTTGAGGTTCGTAAAGGTAACCATTTTCTTGAGGTTCAGTGAGGTAACTTTTTTTCTTGAGGTTTATGAGGTAACTTTTTCTTGAGGTTCATATCTTTTTTCTTGAGGAGGTAACGTTCTTGAGGTTCGATAGGTAACCATTTCTTGAGGTATGAGGTTTTTCTTAAGGTTTATGAGGTAAAGTTCTTTCATGAGGCCATAAAAGTAACGTTTTTTTTTTCTCTCTCTAAGTTGGTCATGAATTAAAAGTCCTCTCACAGGGTCATGAAATAACGTTCATACTTGAAGTTCATGAGGTAACGTTCTTTCTTACGTTCATGAGGTAACGCTCCTTCTCGAGGTTCGGAAGGTAACCTTTTTCTTTGGGTTCATGAGGTAACCTTTTTTTTTAGGGGGGAGGGGATCATGAAGCAACCAAGGTAATTTTCCTTGAGGTTCATGAGGTAACGTTCTTTCTCGAGGTTCATGAGGTAACGTTCCTTTTCGAGGTTCATGAGGTAACGTTCTTTCTCGAGGTTCATGAGGTAACGCTCTTTCTCGAGGTTCATGAGGTAACGTTCTTTCTCGAGGTTCATGAGGTAACGTTCTTTCTCGAGGTTCATAGTAACGTTCTTTTTTCTCGAGGTTCATGAGGTAAATTTCATGTGGTAACGTTCCTTTCTCGAGGTTCATGAGGTAACGTCTTTCTCGAGGTTCATGAGGTAACGTTTTTTCTCGAGGTTCATGAGGTAACGTTCTTTCTCGAGGTTCATGAGGTAACGTTCTTTCTCGAGGTTCATGAGGTAACGTTCTTTCTCGAGGTTCATGAAGGTAACGTTCTTTCTCGATTCATCGAGAGGTTCATGAGGTTAGGTATGACGTTCTTTCTCGAGGTTCATGAGGTAACGTTCTTTCTCGAGGTTCATGAGGTAACGTTCTCGAGGTTCATGAGGTAACGTTCTTCTCGAGGTTCATGAGGTTCTTTCTCGAGGTTCATGAGGTAACGTTCTTTCTCGAGGTTCATGAGGTAACGTTCTTTCTCGAGGTTCATGAGGTAACGTCTTTTCTCGAGGTTCATGAGGTAACGTTCTTTCTCGAGGTGAGGTAACGTTCTTTCTCGAGGTTCATGAGGTAACGTTCTTTCTCGAGGTTCATGAGGTACGAGGTTCATGAGGTAACGTTCCTTTTCGAGGTTCATGAGGTAACGTTCTTTCTCGAGGTTCATGAGGTAACGTTCTTTCTCTCGAGGTTCATGAGGTAACGTTCTTTCTCGAGGTTCATGAGGTACGAAGGTTCGAAGCGTTTAAAGGTAACGTTCTTTCTCGAGGTTCAGTGAGGTAACGTTCTTTTCTCGAGGTTCATGAGGTAACGTTCTTTCTCGAGGTTCATGAGGTAACGTTCTTTCTTCTTTCTCGGGTTCATGAGGTAACGTTCTTTCTCGAGGTTCATGAGGTAACGTTCTTTCTCGAGGTTCATGAGGTAACGTTCAGGTTTCATGAGGTAACGTTCCTTTCTCGAGGTTCATGAGGTAACGTTCTTTCTCGAGGTTCATGAGGTAACGTTCTTTCTCGAGGTTCATGAGGTAACGTTCTTTCTCGAGGTCATGAGGTACCGTTTCTTTCTCGAGGTTTGAGGTAACGTTCCTTTTCGAGGTTCATGAGGTAAACGTTCTTCTCTTCATGAGGTAACGTTCTTTTCGAGGTCATGAGGTAACGTTCTTTCTCGAGGTTCATGAGGTAACGTTTCTTTCTCGAGGTCATGAGGTAACGTTCCTTTCTCGAAGTTCATGAGGTTATCGTTCTTCTCCGAGGTTCATGAGGTAAACGTTCTTTCTCGAGGTTCAATGAGGTAACGTTCCTTTCGAGGTTCATGAGGTAACGTTCTTTTCTCGAGGAGGTAACGTTCTTTCTCGAGGTTCATGAGGTAACGGTTCTTTCTCGAGGTTCATGAGGTACCGTTCTTTCTCCGAGGTTCATGAGGTACGTTCCTTTTTCGAGGTTCATGAGGTAACGAGGTTCCGTTCTTTCTCGAGGAGGTAACGTTCTTTCTCGAGGTTCAGGTGAGGTACGTTCTTTCTCGAGGTTCATGAGGTAACGTTCTTTCTCGAGGGTCATGAGGTAACGTTCTTTCTCGAGGTTCATGAGGTAACGTTCTTTCTCGAGGTTCATGAGGTACCGTTCAGGTTCATGAGGTAACGTTCTTTTTCATGAGGTACGTTCTTCTCGAGGTTCATGAGGTAACGTTCTTCTCGAGTTTCATGAGGTAACGTTCTTCTCGAGGTTCATGAGGTAACGTCAGGTTGAGGTAACGTTCTTTCTCGAGGTTCATGAGGTAACGTTCTTTCTCGAGGTTCATGAGGTAACGTTCTTTCTCGAGTTCATGAGCGTTCTTTCTCGAATGAGGTAACGTTCTTTCTCGAGGTTCATGAGGTAACGTTCTTTCTCGAGGTTCATGGAGGTAACGTTCTTTCTCGAGGTTCATGAGGTAACGTTCTTTCTCGAGGTTCATGAGGTAACGTTCTTTCTCGAGGTCAGGTGAGGTAACGTTCTTTCTCGAGGTTCGAGGTTCATGAGGTAACGTTCTTTCTCGAGGTTCATGAGGTAACGTTCTTTCTCGAGGTTCATGAGGTAACTTCTTTCTCGAGGTTCATGAGGTAACGTTTCTTTCTCGAGGTTCATCGTTCTTTCTCGAGGTTCATGAGGTAACGTTCTTTCTCAGAGGTTCTTTCTCGAGGTTCATGAGGTAACGTTCTTTCTCTTCGAGTAACGTTTCTTTCTCGAGGGTCATGAGGTAAGTTCTTTCTCGAGGTTCATGAGGTAACGTTCTTTCTCGAGGTTTCATGAGGTAACGTTCTTTCTCGAGGTTCATGAGGTAACGTTCTTTCTCGAGGGTCATGAGGTAACGTTCTTTCTCATGAGGTTCGTTCTTTTCGAGGTTCATGAGGTACCGTTCTTTCTCGAGGTTCATGAGTAACGTTCTTTCGAGGTTCATGAGGTAACGTTCTTTCTCGAGGTTCATGAGGTAACGTTCTTTCTCGAGGTTCATGAGGTAACGTTCTTTCTCGAGGTTCACGTTCTTTTCGAGGTTCATGAGGTAACGTTCTTTTCTCGAGGTTCATGAGGTAACGTTCTTTCTCGAGGTTCATGAGGTAACGTCTTTCTCTCTCATGAGGTAACGTTCTTTCTCGAGGTTCATGAGGTAACGTTCTTTTCTCGAGGTCGAGGTAACGTTCCTTTTCGAGGTTCATGAAGGGTAACGTTTCTTTCTCGAGTTATGAGGTAACGTTCCTTTCGACATGAGGTAACGTTCAGGTTCATGAGGTAACGTTCTTTTTCGAGGTTCATGAGGTAACGTTCCTTTTCGAGGTTCATGAGGTAACGTTCTTTCTCGAGGTTCATGAGGTACGTCTTTCTCGAGGTTCATGAGGTAACGTTCTTTTCCGAGGTTCATGAGGTAACGTTCTTCTCGAGGTCATGAGGTAACGTTCTTTCTCGAGGTCATGAGGTAACGTTTTTCGAGGTTCATGAAGGAGGTTCATGAGGTAACGTTCTTTCTCGAGGTTCATGAGGTAACGTTTCTTTCTCGAGGTTCATGAGGTACGAGGTTCATGAGGTAACGTTCTTCTCGAGGTTCTGAGGTAACGTTCTTTCCGAGGTTCATGAGGTAACGTTCTTTCTCGAGGTTCATGAGGTAACGAGGTTCATGAGGTAACGTTCTTTCTCGAGGTTCATGAGGTAACGTTCTTTCTCGAGGTTCATGAGGTAACGTTCTTTCTCGAGGTTCATGAGGTAACGAGGTGAGGTCGTTCTTTCTCGAGGTTCAGCGTCCCCTCACAGCGTCATGAGGGACAGCCTTCTCATCGGATCATTGGAAAAAGTCCTGTCCATAAGGTCGTGATTCCCTTTTGCGAGTTTATATTCCTAAGTTCTCGAGAGAAGGAAAGAAGGAAAAGAGAGAGAGAGAGAGAGAGAGAGAGAGAGAGAGAGAGAGAGAGAGAGAGAGAGAGAGAGAGAGAGAGAGAAGAGAGAGAGAGAGAGAGAGAGAGAGAGAGAGAGAGAGAGAGAGAGAGAGAGAGAGAGAGAGAGAGAGAGAGAGAGAGAGAGAGAGAGAGAGAGAGAGGAGAGAGAGAGTTAGGAGAGAGAGAGAGAGAGAGAGAGAGAGAGAGAGAGTGAAGTCAAAAGTTGCTGTTCTTTTATTCTTAAGTTCATATTCCATAACGAGTTTTGTTATTCAGAGTAAATAAGTAAAAGAACGGATATCAACCGTTCACAAAATCTTTAAAAATGAAGAAAAAAAATCGTGTTGCCATCACGCCGTTCCTTGTTTTCTTTCCCTCTCGTGTGTCTAAAGTTGTTGTTCTTTAGTTCATTTTCTATAATCAGTCTTCTCATTCAGAACAAATAAGTAAAAGATGTATATCAACTGCTTACAAAATCTTATAATATATAATATATATATAATATATAATATATATCTATATATATATATATATATATATATATTATATATATCTATATATATATATATATATATATATAATCGTGTTTATTAATATGCCGTCCGCTGTCTTTTGTTTTTGTTATTCCTTTCGTTGCTGCGAATTGTTGTTTTTTAGCTAATTTTTCTATAATCAGTCTTCCTCATTCAGAACAATAAGTAAAAGATGTTATATCAACTGCTTACAAAATAAAATTAAAAAATTAAAAAAAGTGTTAGGAATCCGCCGTTCCCGATCGTCTTTTGTTTTTGTTTCCCTACTCGGGGCGCTGCTTCGCGGGAAATTCGAAAGAGGAATGGAAAGGTAATCCGGCCGACGGGGAAGGCTAAGATTCAATCTCGCAGTTTTCGGCAGGCCTCCGGAGCCTGTCAGAGAGGATCAAACAAACAAACCCGCAAAAGAATAGATAAACTCGTGACCAACACTCAACCAGTTAGTGTATAAATCTTTCCGCCGTAGTGCCCTGGGCTTCTTCTCTCTCCCCTCTCTCCCCGCCCTCTCCCCTTCTCCCGTTCTTCCCGTGTCCCTCCCTCTGTTCCCGCCCCTCTCTGCTTTTCCTCTCCCTGTTCTCCCGGTCCCCTCTCCCCCTCACTCTCTCCCTCTCACTGTCCCCGCCTCCCCCCCGCTGCTCAACTCTCATCCTTTCCTTCTCTCCCACCCTCTCCCTGTTGATGGCTACGCACGGATGGGGGGCCGCCATTGGTGGAAGGACCCCAGTGCGCAGAATGCGCCGCGGGCAGCTGCGACGCATCGCGGGCATAGAGCAGAGAAATGCAGTCATCGCAGTCACGAATCGAGGATGCAGAGTCACTAGGCCATCTCTCTCGACGAGACGTCGGGATGAGTCAGTTCTCCTCCCGCTCTCCCGGCCCCTCCTCCCTTCCCGGATCCTAATCAGCCAATTACCGGTCCCCCTCGCGGCTCTTCACCCTGTGTGTCCGCTCTCTCTCGACCTTACTACAAGTCCTATACCTAATGAGTCCTTCCTCCTCTCTCTCCCTCTCGTCGACCCACTTCATGCTTAATCTCGGGTCGACTCTATTGGTATCCCTTCTTCACACCTTCGAGTCCTGGGTCGCCCTCTAGCATTCAATAATTCGTGTGTTTGGATGATGGTATCAGCACGGAGCCAGATGATACTGAAAATGTGAAAACAAACACACGCACCCACACACACACACACACACACCAACAACACAACACACCACACATCTGAACACACACACTCCACAACACACACACACATCGGCGACGCACACACCACACGTCACTTCGAGTCCATCGCCACACAGGCAACATGCACAAATCCATAGGAAGGATTCTGAAATAATTGCGGGAATGATGGATCTGGGGAAATCATCCACTAACACCATCTCACACGACGGACACACAGGCAACATTCCAAGAGACACACATACCATGGACACATCCATCAAACTAGCGAGGGTGACTGCTTCCGTTGCGGGTATTAACAGACGAATCATGACTGCTCTGAGGTAGTAGCATGATGAGGGATAATGAATTGTGGGGTGATGATGAGATAATCCAGCGAATCAGCACAATCACAATCAGATCCCACCACAACACACAGAATAGGCTCAATAAACACACCACACACATCACAACTCCGACACAACACAGCAAATAATGCTGATGAACCTCCATTCTTCATTTACTTTGGCCGGCCGTTCGTTCCGTGGGCCGTGAGACGGTGGGGATTTCCGGAAGAGGAAGAGCCTGAGCAAGACAGGGAGAAGGTGGGCCGAAGAGAGGGGAAGGGGCTGGGGGGAGAGATGTGCAGTGAGAGGGAGAGAGAGAGCGAAGGGTCGGGCGGAGGCAGACGCGCGATGCAGCGCGCGCGACGCAGTCGCGCGCCAGAGAGAGAGAAGAGAGAGTTTGAAGTGAGAGAAAAGAGAGAGTAGGGCTCGGGGAGCTTAAGAGCGAGAAGAGGGAGAGGAGAGGTGAGTGAGAGAGAGTGAGTCAGAGAGAGAGAAGTGAAAAGTCGAGTGAAACAGAGAGTGGACGGGAAGGAGTTAGAGACCAAGACCAGACGACAGAGATAAAGAGAACCCAAGATAGCCAGACAACACAGAGAAACAGCGACAAACAACAGACAGCCGAGAGAGAGAGAGAGAGAGAGGATAGAAGAGAAGATGACGAGAGAGAGTAGAGAGCAGAAGTAGAGAGGAGAGAGAGAGAGAGTAGAAGAGAAAGAGAAGAGAAAGCGAGAGAGAGGAAGGAGGCACGTTGTATAACATTTTGGCCCAAGAGACGTGTTGATTCACATGCTTAGAGCCTGCCAGGAGAGGGTGGGTGGGGGGACGGTGGGGTAGAGAGCGAAGCGAAGGGGCTCGCCGCCGGGAAATACACCACAGTCCTCTGAACACATCTCATCCACACACACCACACACACACACCAACTACACACACAGTGGGCACGTGGCTCTCTGTCCATCACACCACACACACACGCAACACACA